TTATATAAAGCTCTGTCCTATACAAGTATAAGCTCTGGGCTTTAAGTCAAGGACATTATTACTGAGAGTAAAGCCTCGCACACACTAGAAAAATGTTTGCTAAAAAAAACCCACCTATATATTAAAAAAACCCGAAAGGATTAATTTCTCACCTTGCCGCCAAAAAACTGACCGAGTCCGGGGGGAAAGGTGAGGGAGGCGATGACAAAGGTGATGATACTTGGGTAGATGAAACGACTGTGGGGGAGGAAAAACATGTATGTTCTTTATATTTACTTTTCTTAACTAATCTACAGAGATGAAATGTGAGGCAGCGTGGTGGAATCAGGCTCTCATCAGTTTTTGGGTATGTAGAGTTATTGGTATCATCTTAAAGTTTATTCAGTTGTCTTTATTTGGATGAAAAAAATATTCATTTATCTTGAATACAAGTCGAGATATTTGCGAAAGAAGGAGGTGGGGGTCACCTGTTTTCAGAGGTAAAATTAGTGAGAAAATGGCCGCCAAAGAGTAGTTATTTACTCTGCTTAAGAGTCCGTGGTAACTGAAAATTTACATTTTTGTGCCTTTAATCAACGCTTTTCAGAAAAATCCACACAGAAATGGGATCTTTAATAGGCATGAAAAGTGCTGAGTCAAAAAACAAAAATTTCATAAAAATTCACAAACCTGCAGAAAAATGCAAGTTTCTTAACTTTAATTATTTTGACGAGAGCCTGATTCCACCACGCTGCCTCACAAATAACTCAAGAGAAAAAATAAAATCTTTACAATTTACTGTTATTAACTAATCTACATGATGTATATAGATCATATTATCATCTCAGCCCAATCAAAGACGCTACGGACATCCCATTAGGAACATCAAAGTGCTGCAAAGTAAACTCTAAAAATAATAATGATAATAATACTACAATAGTTGGTTTATTTTAGTAGAGATTTTACTGCGCTTGCAACTGCATAAGGTCATATGAGCACCATTACTAATAGTAATAATAATGAAGGTTTTATTGCCATTAAAACCAAAAATCCAACTCACTTTTTCTGCAGGAAATGAGACAGTTTCTTGTGCCGTCTGGTGAAGAGGATGACACTCCTGTGGGTGAGGATGAACAACGCGCCGCCAAATCCACACGCAACCCTGGGGGGGTGAGGCAACAAACAGAATATGTCAAATTGAATATGGAAAAGGATACCTATCTACTAAGTAACAGTTAGTTTTAGTTTTCGTAAGTGTTTTAC